AAATCTGGGACACACCTTCTGGTGAGAGCATATATAATATGCCAGCAAGAAATGAGGCTACTTCTTTGGAATTCCAACTTATACTGCAGACCAGCTGAGACATCCAGCCCTATGTACTGAAGAAGTGTCGGATACTAGAACTTTCCATTGGGAGACAATCATTATCGGACTAATTGGACCATACCCTTTAATACATTCTAATAAATCACACACATGTGTACACACACACACACACACACACACACAGAACCTCTGTAAGTTTTGTTCCTCTAAAGAACACTAAGTAGATTATTGTACCAGAAGTGTTTCTACAGCAACAGAAGTATAAGAATGAATTTTTAAAGTATCTATCTAGAACAGGCTTTTGATTTGTAGATACCTACAATTATTGAAGCCTCTCCTAGAATCATGGAGAGCACTAAAAAACCCATGGTGTGAACTATTTAATGAACTTATCAAGACAAATGCATTTGATTATCCTGATTCACCTATTGTGAGAAGGAAGGAAACCTATTGTGAGAAGGAAGGAATTTAGTGACCATATACATAAAACTTTTGACAATTTGTGAAAAAATAAGGAAAATAATGATGCTGGCAAGTTACAGACCCTCTGAATAAATTGACAAAGGAAAAGAATGGTTGATCTCAGTGATAAAATTAATCAATTTCTAGCATCTCCGGATACAGTAACAAAGGAGAAGAATGAAGTCGGTGATGGAATTGAAGGACTCCAGAGGAGCATAGACAGTCTAAAGTCCTCTAAGTGTGCCCTGGAAGAGAATCCTTTCTCTAGCAGCCATAGAGCTTAAGCAGCAGAAAAATGAAACTGGCCGGGCGGTGGTGGTGCACGCTTTTAAACCCAGCACTCGGGAGGCAGAGCCAGGCGGATCTTTGTGAGTTCGAGGCCAGCCTGGGCTACAGAGTGAGATCCAGGAAAGGTGCAAAGCTACACAGAAACCCTGTCTCAAAAAACCAAAAAAAAAAGAAAGAAAGAAAGAAAGAAAGAAAGAAAGAAAGAAAGAAAGAAAGAAAGAAAGAAAGAAAGAGAAAAGAAAAGAAAAAAAAGAAAATGAAAGTGAAATCCCCTTCAGAAGATTGTCTGAATTACAAGGAAAATTCAACTTCTAGCCTCAGAAAGTGGTGCAAGTTAAAGTAAAGGCCCCACTTGGTAAGAAATGGGATCCTGTCATTTGGGATAGAGATGTGTGGGAGGACTCTTCTGAGGCTGAGACTTAGAACCCTCAGATTCTGGTGGATTTACATCACCTGACAAAGAAATCTTTCCCCCCTTAGCAGAGAATGTACTCCCCCACCCCCTGAAGAATTACACTTTCTGCCTTTGCCTGAGGAAATGAATCTTCCATTGTCTGTAGAACTAGCAGTGACTTTCTCTGAAGAAAATGCCAGGCAAGATAATCCTGATATCCCTCAGGGCTTAGCAGTCGTTGCCTCTACACCCATAACCAGAATTAAGACTTAGAGGGGCAGTAGAAAGTGTAATCCATGAGGATGTGTGGCACACCACCAGAAAGCTTCTGAGTTTGCTAATTCATTCAACCAGAATTTTGGGGAATATGTGTGGGAATGGATTTTAAAGATGTGGAATAATTGTAAAAGGCACATAGAACTGGATCGGGAGTGAAGATACTAGGGTTAGGGTGGAAGTATGCACAGTTGAAAAATAGTGTCAAAATTATTTGCTTGGTTGTCTGAAGCATTTGTCAAAAGATGGCCTACTGAAAAGGAGCTGGAGATGACAGGTATCCTTCTTTTGGTGTTGATGAAGGGACTTTAAGGCTCCGGGAAAGTGGAATGCTAGAGTGGGTACACCATGCAAAACCTAGTTTTCCACAATGGGGATGCCCAGACAACAGGCCCTTTCACTCATCCTGTAATATGAGAAGTGGTGAGCAGAGCACCAGCACATGTGTAGTAGCTACACTGAATCACCAAAGACATGATGAGTATGGTTATTGTAATGGGCAGCACAGGCAAAGTGGTTTCTATGGTGGGATACTGGCTAATCATTCCAGGAATGAAATAAATAAGAAGCCTTTTGCATTTTTGTTTGATCTGTGTAAGCAGAAAACTTCTCAAATAAATGAAGCTACATTGGATCATGGCAAGAGGGTATCTCCGTCTTTGATTAATTTCCAGACTTGAGATAGTTTGCAGACCCACAACCCCTTGATTGAAGGGACTGCCAGGACCCCCAAGGAAGGCTCTTGATAAAATACCAGAAAGATTTGCTGTTATCTTTTCTCCCATCCTTTCCCAGAATGACTTACTTTTATAATGGTAAGTGCACACTGGGGAAAGAAAGCAGACTTTCCTAGATCTGCTGGATACAGGTTCTGAATTGCCACTAATTCTGAGTGGCACTAAGAAGCATTAGGGTCCTCCACTTAGAGCAGGGGATTATGGAGATCAGGTGATTAATGGAGTATCATGGAGTATCGACTGAAGTATGACTCACAGTAGGTCCAGTGGGTCCCAGAACTCATCCTGTGATTCTCCAGCAGCACCCCCACCACCCAGTTTCAGAATAAATAATTGGAATAGATACCCTTAGAAGTTGGCAGAATTCTCACATTGGTTCCCTGATCTGGAGAGTGAAGGCTGTTACGGTTGGAAATGCCAAGAGGAAGCCAGTGGAAAATAGTGAACCAAAACTATCATTACATCCCTGGAGGAATGGGAGGGGGTTCGGACCACATCTCTCTTTAACTCTCATATCAGGACTGCACAGAAAACAGATGGATCATGTAGAATGACAGTTTTCTACTGAAAACTCAATCAAGTGTTGAATCCAATTGCAGCTACTGTACAAGACATGTGTCTTACCTGAGCCAATTAACATATCTGGTACATGGTATGCAGCTATTGATCTAGCAAATGTTTTTTCTCAGTACCTGCCCATAAAGACTATCAGAAGTAATTTGCTTGTCGTTAGCACATCCAGAAGTATACTTTTACAGTTGTACCTCAAGGGTACAACTGTCCAGCCCTGTGCATAACCTAATTTGCAGGGATCTTGACCTTCCATCTCTTTGACATAATATCATACTCATCCATTATACTGAGGACATGATGGCGATTGGACCAAGTGAGCAGGAGACAGCAACTACTTTGACCTTGCTGGTGCACATATGCATGGGAAGTAAATCCATCCAAAATTCAAAGACCTTTGACCTCATTCAAATTTCTAGGAGTCCAAGGGTGTGGGCTATATAGAGATATTCTTTTTAAAGGAAAGGGTAAGTTATTGCACTTGGCCCCTCCCACCACCAAGAAAGAAGCACAATGTTTATTGTTCATATTTGTATTCTGGAAACAGAACATTCCTCACTTGGGTATATTAATTTAACCCATATACCAAGTGACTCAGAAAGCTTCTAGTTTTGTGTAGGGCCTAAAATAGGAAAAGGCTCTTCAACAGGTCAAGGCTGCCATGAAGACTACTTTACTACTTGGAGCATATGATCCAACAGACTCAGTGTTACTTGGGATGTCAGTGGCAGATTGGATGCTATTTGGAACCTTAGGCAGCCACATTGGTGAGATCTTAGGGGGTGTAGCTTTGGGCATTACCAGGAGATACAGTCTCACAGCAGACTCCCTGTCCTTCTGTTTCTTGTAATCTTTCCATCCCTCTCTCACAGTGTTCCCTGAGCTTAGGTGCAGGACTTGTCTTGTAGTTATGTCAGTGAAGACTGGGACCCACAACTCTTTATTTTGATTGGCTGTAGGTTTCTGCATTGGTCATTCCAGAGAAGTTTTTTTTGATGAGGGGTGAGGACTGTACTGATCTCCAGGTGTAAGGACAAGTGTTTGAAATGTAGTTACAAGTTATGGTGGTTTAGTACTGTGTGGTTGTTTCTCTTTACTGCCACTTTTAATTTAAGTACACCAATAGCTGTCTTGAACAGCTCTATTAATTTATAACAACTGTGGCATGAGCCTACTATTTTATAAATTAAAGGGTATTTTCCATATTTTTAAGTTTATGTTATGCTTTGACTTTAAATAAAATGTACGGCAACTATCTAGGTATTTAAGGCCATATTGCTTAACGTTTTATAATATTTTAAGGTATTTGCAAGGTCTTAAAAATTACACTTAAGAAAAGTCAGTTTCAGATAATATCCAAGTTCTCATTAGAATAAGAAATGCCAATCGAAATGCAATCTGCTTCAAAGGTGCTTCCTGTTCTGTGTGAATGTACAATGTTATTCACCATCACACTCACTGAACTGCTGTCCTATTGTGCATATGCTTAAATGGGAGAGTTCCTTTAGTTTGTAACTTGCTACTTCATTTCTGTTTTTCTGCCTCCCATAGTTAATTCAATTGCCAGGTGGCAATTCTTTCTGAATGTGTCTTTTCCTGTTTGTATTGATGGACATTTGGGTGATTTTTAATTTTTCTTCTTACAGAGGACACCACAGTCAGTATTTTTATCTTTTTTTTTTGCACTTGTATATATGAATGTCTTTGTATAATATACCAGAGATTTTCTAGATTACAGTAGGAATATACTTGATTTCAATAATGTTATTACCTGGGTGGCGGTAGTGCATGCCTATAAACCCAGCACTCAGGAGGCAGAGCCAGGCGGATTTCTGTGCCTGGACTACAGAGCAAGATCCAGGACAGGCACCAAAACTACACAGAGAAACCCTGTCTCAAAAAAACAAATAATAACAATAATAATAATAATGTTATTAACATGTTCTTCATATGCTATACATATACATGTATAATTGTATTTAGAGTCTCATTTTTTTAACACTCACTGTTTTTAAAGTTAAGCCATTTAACTTTCTCCTTTTACACAGACCAAATATCTTTATGTTGTAGTAGTTATTAAAAATGCTTCAAGTCATTAATTAGTAGTAGTTTAGTTAGATAAATACCTCTTAATGTAGTAGAATTAGTTTTTGCTTTTACTTGTGCATTTCTCCTTTATTTTCATTGATTGTAGGTTCTCTCATTTGTAGCTTTGGTTGAAGAAGTGTATGTTGCACAGCGAGAACGCGATGAAGCTATTATGTGCAGACTGCAGTCAGCTCTTGAGGAGAGGGATGAAGCAGTTGCACGTGTGAAGCACATGGAAATGTCACTAAAACTGTGCGTATACACTTAAAATTGTGTGGCATAGAAACATTATAAAGTGTGTGGATGTATGTGCTGGTTACGTAGTCACCTGTGTTACTGCTCCTTGTTATTACATCAAGATGATTTATAACCCTAGGATAGTTTCCTAAAATCCAGGCATGCTTGTGGTTTGCCTGACAAGGATGATAATCAAATCTTTAGGAAGAAAATGGGAATCCATGCTGACAGTGTGGTTACTTCTTTCAAGTTCTGTTGCCAGTGTCTGTTGTCTTACCCAACTTTCCCATGTAACTCTTCTCATCACCTCCTCTTAGTATCACGTTTTTTACTTGTTTGTTTGTTTTTTAATATACTGGTGTTTTGACTGCGTGTGCACCATGGTTAAGGATGGGAGCTCATTTTTGTGTCTCCCTTTCAGCACTAGAGCCCCATCTGGGTGGAACCGGTACAGACCCTGTGCATGCTGCCATAGTCTCTCTGAGATCATATGTGTGTCAGTCCTGTCGTGTCTGGACATCATTAGCAGAATTTAAAATGTTATTGATACAATACAATTGAGTCTAAGAAGCTGCATTTTGGGTAACTCAGTTGATTCTATGTGGTAAATAAGACCATATTTAGAAATTCTAGAAATACTATTCAAATTTTTATATGTGAACCTAATTTCTTATTATTTTAAGGATACTTATTAATTTATTGTGTTGAGGTGGGGAGGGTAGTTGAAGGTGTGAAGTAGGTATGGGTTTGTATATGTTGCTACAGTTGTGTGGTGGTCAGAAGGCAACTTTTAGGAATTGATTATCCCCTTTGACTACATAGGTCCTAGGCATCAGACATTTTCTTTATGGCTGTGATATTCTTTGGATCTTAAATGTCTCCTTCCTAACACCTATATGTTAAAGGATTGGTTTCCATCCTGTGGCAGTATTGGGAGGTGATTAAACCTTCCAGAGCTATGATTATTAGAAAGTTAGGTCACTAGGGATATGCCACCAAGGGGAATATTAGGACCCCAATTCCTTCCCCTCTCTGTCTTGGCTTCTTTGTTACCTTAAGGGCATCAGTTCCCACTTCAGCTTGCTCCTTGCCTCACCTGAGCTCAACAGCAGTAGAGTTCTATGACCTTGATCTGAAACCTGAAATTAGGGCTAAAATAAACCTTAGGCTCCTTTAAATTGACTGTCTCAAGTGTTTAGTCACATTGTCAGAAAGCTGAATAACAGCCTCGATGACACTGTTTATTCTTTTGGCTGCTAGTCGATACCTCAAGTAGTATATAGCTTGGCTATTGTGAATAACATCACACTAATCAAAGGAATGTAGTTGTCTTTGACATATTGATTGTACTTTCTTTGTATATATACTCAAAAGTAGATAGTTGGTTCATATAATAGTTCTTTTTTTTAAAATTCTTTACTATTGTTCTCTATAATTTATATATTGATTTATGTTCCTACCAGTAGTATATGAGCTCACATTTTTCTGCATTCTCATTTAAATTTTTTTTTTCGTTCTTGATTGGGACGAGATATCATTGAGGCTTTCATTTGTATTCTTTAGTTACTAGTAATGTTTAGCTGTTTTTCGTATTCTCAGTCTCCATATTAACCAGTAAGAAAGCCTACCTTATTCCAAACATTGTATCTTTGTTTTTCTGTTTAAATATAAACCTAGTTATCTACAAAGATAGGTTCTTTGTGGTATATTGGTTTATCTATAAAATTAATTTTATAAAAGACATGTTATTGCTACACGCAGGTTTATGTGAGAGGAAGTGTAGTATAGAAAGTAAGAGCCCTGGATCCAGCAATGTGTCCTCAAAGCTTAGATTTGTTGCTTCCTAGCTATTTACCTACAGTATGATCAAATTACACAGGGTCTCTGGGACTCACTTACTGATCCATCAAATAGATAAAATAAGGCCTATATAATATAAGTTGTTACTTGTTACAGAATTACAGTTCTCAATGGCAGAGGATAAATATTCTTATTCCAAAAGGGAGGATCAGGAGAATGGCAAGAGTAGAATGGAATAAAGCAAGACTTATACCCAGCAGGACAAATGTTAGATTCTAAAGCTCTGTGTTAGGCACCTGGGGCATATGGTCTCATGATATGAATTCCAGTGGGCTTGAGTTGATCCATCTTTATGGTGTTTTAGCCACTTTACTCATTGCTGTGAAGGGAATGCTTGAGAAAGCAACTTAAAGACAGAAGGCTTTATTTGACATACAGTTTGACAGGACACAGTCTGTTGTGACGGCAGAAGTGTGATGGTAAGAGCTTAAGGCAGCCAGCCAGCAGAGAAAGATGAATGCTGATGCTCACTTTGCTTTCCCTTTTTTTTTCATCCAGAGACCTCATGCTCACTAGCAGGGCACCTTTAGGCTGGTTCATATGACCTCAGTTAAGCCTGGCTAGAGAACCCCTCAGAGCTTTCATAAAAGCTAGTCTTCCAGGTGATGCTAGATTCTGTTAGGTCTACACAATGTTAACCATCACAGTGGTCCTGCAGTCAGCAACACATGTGGCCTCTCTGTTGTGCTGTCTCCATTCAGTGCCTACAGTTTTCTTTTGTAGATTTCCAATGTTCCTGTAATCTCCAGCATTTTGGGTTCTCTGTTGTAACTGACTTTGTACTCATAGGTGTTCACATGAGCTCCATAGAAGCTTATTGTAAAGAGTTTACTGAAGTTCCACATGTCTTAGCTTCCCAAGCTCCCTCATAAAACTTGATCCACACCACTAGGTTGCACGACTCTTCCTAGGAGATGTGACTAAAGAAACAATTCCACCTATCTAGCTCAGTGAACTAATCAGTTTCATGGTGTTGATTATAAGCATAAGCATAAAAGAACATGGGTGGCTCAAAGGCAGCTACATAACTAAACAGCCCACCCAGCATGGGTGATGACTTCTGAAAGCTATACCTCTAGAGCTGGCTGTACAACTTGCTTGTAATTCAGCTTGTCTGAGAATCTGTTCTCCCTAACAGTCGTTACTGCTTTTAAAGCCTTAAGGAGTAGATCTATAAATCCTGTAAGTCTCATTTACTTCACAAGTCTTTTGTGTCTCCCTCCAGGAGGGAATATTTCAGTTCTGAGGAAATAGCTGCACATTATTCAGGGACCCCATAACTCATGCATTCTGCATGTCTGAAAAACCAGCATCATGTGTAAGACACCAAGTTCTGTTGCCAGCCCACTTGGACCTCTGACTGATGTGGCACTGAAGTAGGAACAAAAGTTACAGAGACCCAGGCATGGTGTTGCATGTCTTTAATCCCAGAATTCCAGAGGCAAAGGCAGGTGGATCTTGGTGAATTTGTGCACAGCCTGGTTTGTATAGTGAGTTGTAGGCTAGCCAAGGCTGCTTAATGAGACCCAAGTTTTCTAGGAAGCTCAGTGTAAGCATAGTACCCTGAGGCTCCATTTTTGGATGCCATCTTTTTGTATTATTTCATATTATTTATTATTCCAGTGGAAAGTGCAGAGCATTTACAATGGTGCTAATCTATTTAATAACATTGCCCACTTTGTCTTGATCTACTACCTTGTTTGTATCTTTAAATGTTCCCACCCACCCCTTTCCCTGGGAGCTCCTTTTCTAGCCAAATTGTGTTTTTCAACTCCTTTACCTTTTGCTCATGATTCTTACAATAAAACTAGCTAAAAGTAGACAGCAAGGACTATGCTATAGGCTGTATGTTATGCTATCTTGATGTTTTCTTTACCAAATAACTAGTCCCATATTTTTAAATTCATCTTTGCTCAGATTTTCAAGACCTGCTTAGACATAATTCTTTGCCCAATGGTAACACAAATGGCATATAGTTCAGTTGCCAGTAGAGTCCTGTTCTAGTCTGAAAGCTCACAAGCTAAGATTTTACTTCATGAATTTCTCTTAAGTGATATGGTTTTTATATTTCTATCCGAATCAACCATTAAATAATACTTACAGAATTCTTGAGTCACTGTAGTTTCTATCTTCAAACTCTTGCAATACTCCTCCCACAAAGTAGTCCCAAAGCCTAGGAACCTCGTGTTAAGTTCATCACAGTGACAAAACTACTTCTCTGCACCAGACTTTCACTGACCTTTGTGTGTCTTTGACTACTAAAACTGATAGAGGTATCTTCAGAAAATAAGAGTTTGTTTTGGCCCACAGTTGAGTAGGTTTCAGTATTTGATGATAAAGGGAAGGCATGCTGAAGTGGCCCAGTCCATGACGTAGGAGCATTTGGCAGTGGCGGTCCCTTTGCTGCAGATCAGGCTTCAGAAAGCATAAGGAACAGGGCTAGACTATAGCCTGTCAAGTTCTCTTCCTAATGCCCTACTTGAGCCGGTAGGCCACAGGTTCCACAGCCACTGCAAACCATGGGGGAACCAACACTCAAGACATGAGCCTATGGGAAACATTTCCATTTCAAACCATGACAGTATGTGGGCCATTCTTAGTTTTTCAGAAGGCATGAGTAATGTGTGTTCCTTTTTGTTGTTGTTGTTGTTCTCTATATTGTACTCACTTATTCCATTACCACTGAATGCAAAGCCTGTTACTACACCAGGGTTTTCTTTGTACTTCCATTGAGCATAACTTTGTTATATGCATGTGGGATACTTTGTGGACTAGATTGTGTTGTCCCATTTTTGTGTGTGTATGTGTATGTCTACCTCTTTGTTAGTGTTATATAGTCTTAATTTCTGAATCTTTTATGCCTTAAAATCATATATTACTCCTCCAACTTTTTTATTATGGAATCATGTGGTTATTCTAGTACCTTTACCTCCCTAAATATATTTTAAAATCAATTTTTTATACCCATAGAATGTTTTACTGGACTCAAATGTTTTTATTTATATTTTTGGATCACAAACTCTTTATCATTTGAGGTCATTGTTCTGCTTCGTACTGTTGCACTAACTTTCAGAAAAGACAGAGATAATATTGATGGATCAAGGGATAACTCAAGAATTGTGACATTTCTTGCATGGGCTTTTCACTTAGATTGCAAAGTTGTCAGTCAGAATTTGCATGGTATAGGAAATCAATTGAAACTTGAGCCCATGAACATTTACTTCAGCAAAATTCTTAACTAATTATCATAACTATGTTAAGTTAGACTGCAGTAGGCATTATTTTGAGTTTATAAATGGCTAAGATTCTTTTGTCTACTTACAAGCCCTATATTAGTGAGATATAATTTATTGTTTACTGGCTATATTTTATATAATATCATCTATTACTTTAAATCTTTAATATAACCAGAAATTTTCATTTTATACATTCTTCCTATAAACTTTACCAACCTAAGATTTTTTTTTTTATAAAACTAAAGGCCTTATATATATTATGTAGTTGTTTTATGTTATTTCATTTGAAAAGATAGAAAGTCTAAATGATATAGTGCATGGTTTATTTGTTGAAGGCCTAAATATAATTTTCTGAAAATAGTTTTGTTCATTTCTTACTTCATCTTTAGCAAGACAATTAATGATCCAGTTCAGAAAACTATGTTAGATTTACTGACTTCCATCTTTTAATGTATTAACATTAAAAATCTTGTCTCACTTTTTAATACTCTATTTCAGGAAGAGATAATGATTATGTTATACATCAAACCTATTACCTATTTCTGTAAAGAAACTTTTATTAAAACCTAGCCACACCCATTCTCTTGCCTATTGTCTATGTTTTAGCACTACAAAGGCAAGGTTGTGGAGGTATGACAGAGACTAGAAGCTAATCCAAATATGTTTAGTGTCTGCCTCCTAACTGAAAAAATTTACTGATTCCTGTTCTATTTAATTTAATTGAGATATTATGGCATTAACATTTGATGTCTGTAATAAGTACATCCATAAGACTTTATACACAAAAGAGAAATAAGAACAGCAGTCTTTTATAAGTTTATATTATGCATGCATGAACATATATACATTTTTAGATCTGAGCTTTTCTTGGATTAATTATGCATAATAATAATAATGATAATGAACAATATTGAGAACAAAAAGCAAAGTGATTATCTTTGTTCACTTCTACTTGGCATGTTAGATCTATCACATAAGGCTCACTAAAAACAGTACAAGTTTATTTACTAGCAAATTAAAATCATTACATACTACTTTAGGACTGACTGATCACACAATTCTTTAAAGTCTAAGTAATAAGTTCACATGCCTTATAATTATTTAGTGTTTGATAAGAAATCAATTTTAACTTAAAAATTGTCCAATACTAGCTGCGGATTTTATTACTAGACTAAATTCAGTTATCTCAACTGTTTCTAAAATGTGAAGCTGCTCATTTAAAACATTTGAACTCTTTATCTTCCTCTCCTTAAAGGAACAATTTTTCATATTGCCATACCTCAAAACAACTTGCAAGTATTACATAGAAATCCCACATATGCTGTGTTCTGTTGATTATCTGAGATATACAAATTGGGTAACATTCCTGTATTATTATTTTTATTTGGTGGGAACTAAAACAGCAAGCTTATTACTATAAGTATCAAATTCTTTTATAGATTACCAGAAGTCTACCAATCTAAATATTTGATTATCATATATCCTTTCACGTTTTAATTTTGTATTTAATAATTATGAAAATTTTAAATATTCATACTGATTTTTCTGGAAACGACAGTGATCTGCTTTTAGTTTGATTTTACCTACAAAATTTTAGTACTAAGATATTTTACCACATGTGATTCCACATAAAATTTTATTTAGCTAACCAGTAAGTGAAGATAAATGCTACCAACATTCAAGTACTTTCACTGTGACCATAGTGCGAGAATCCTCTTTTTCTGCTATGCTTTTGAAATGAGTTCAAAACAAGTGGCTACTTTTTTTTGTTGAACAAGCTTTTATGAAGTAGTATGTCTGAAAGTGTAATTGAATTTGGAGAAACTCTATAAAAGACAAGAATATTTGCTCTTCTGGAGATATGAATGGAAGCGGCTTGAGAGGCGCTGTTGTATGTAATTAGAGTCACTAGGTATTGCTTTTGAGTCATAGTATGCCAGTGTGTACAGACATAGAGTTTTCTGCTTCTGTGTTTTTCTGTTAAATCACCACGTTTAGAAACAGCTAATTTTTCCATGATTGTAATGAGATTTACCCAAGTATGACATTTGGAACAATTTTGTGGAATATTATCAATTGTCTCTTATTTTTTAGTGTCATCCTTTTTTGTGGTAAATATTAAATCCCTAAAGTGCAGATATAGAGAGGGCCTCTGAAGAAGGGAAATTTATCTGTAAACTTTATTACAGTTTAAAAATAATTGTCATTTCTAATATACATCTCAATTTGTTCTCTAATTTACTTAATTTAATCATTGCCTAAATTCTGCTTTCTTAAATATATCACTTAGAATGTCTTTTCCATTAGTACATTTACTCAGTTCATCCATATTAACAAGCATTTCAGTAAACATGATCATTCTTATTCAAAAATGCATTTATGGAGAGGAAAAATGTCTTTCCCTTTCAATTGAATGATTCCATAAAATATGAAAACAGAAAAATAAACACTCATCTAAAGTATGGTCCAATTTTGGTCAGCTTGTATATTTGGTGTGTTTGTATCACAGGTGCAGAAATAGATTTTCAGTTTTAATTTAGTGTAATTATTTGTCATTGCTTTTGAGGAATCATAGTTAAACTTCATAATAAAAAAAAATGCTTACTTTGTTTTTGCTTGTGACAGTGTCCAAAAAAAGAAAGGAAATAGTCTCTGATCAGAATTGAAAGAACAGGAATAAATATCATGATGAGAAAGAGTGCTTCTATCACTGGGGAACTTTCTTCATCTAAACACATATGAACAATTGATCCTTGTAGTCATATATAGCAGTAAACATTAATAACTTAACAGTCTGAAGTCAGAGCAGAAGATAGAGAGCATTATTGGAAGACGGAGTCGAGCAGGTGCCACTTTAATATGTTCAGTGTCATGGTTGACTCTAAAGACTAGTCGAATGAAATTACTTGAGGTTCTAAAGATTTAAAAAGCGAACTCATTTTGCTGCACTAAGGAAATGCTACTGATCAGGCTTTCTGTGTCCCTTTTTTCTAGGCTAGAAAATATTAACCCTGAAGAAAATGACATGGTAAGCCATTCTCTGAGGAGATTTCTTGATGTCAGTCTTATATCTTAGAGGCTTAAGTTCAATTGAGTGGGTTTCAAGAACTAAGATGTGGGAAAAAGAAGAATTGACACACTAATAATGTACATCTTTGCTGCAATATGAAAATTCAATAACTTCACTCAGTCAATTTACAATTCACATGTGCCTATTAATTAAAACCCTATATTAAATAAAATATATTAAAACCTCATGTCTGACTAACATATAATGGTGTTGGTAGACATTACAGGAATTACTGAGCAGAATAAACAATGCAGACACTGGGATAGCTATTCAGAAGAATGGAGCTATAATTGTGGATAGAATCTACAAGACCAAGGAGTGTAAAAAGAGAATAACCGCAGAAGAAATGAATGCAGTGATAGAAGAGCGGGATGCGGCTTTGTCTCAGGTAACTGTTTGTACCCAGAAAAGCATACAGGTGCCATTTCCCTCTGTTTTAAAATCCTGAAACCATGAATTTTGCTCAGATAGTCTTTATTTCCCTCTTAGAATCTTATGTTATCATATAAAGAAATGTGTTTCCTTGTGACACTTCACACACACTCTCTCTCTCCATTGTTTTTATCTGCTATCTAATTCACACTAGTTCGTAGTATATAATCAAGACCATATTTTAATATATTAAAATATTTGAATTTCTGCACCACTTTTATGAATATGCATCCTATAATTTAGTGAATAATTTCTTAGTAAAGCAATGTTTTATAAAATGTTAACCTGCAATAAAATATACTTGCATTAATTAATCACTTTTATATTACATTTTTTATTTGCATTGCAGTTTTGTAAGTGCTAAGACTTGTTTGCTTTTTGGGTTTTTTGTTATTGTTGCTGTTTTAGTCTTTATTCCCAGAGCCTATGTTGACACATTTTGGGTCAAAAATTAGTGTATTATTTGATGAACATACTTACACCTTCTTGCTTTAATTCAACTCTGATTTTTTTTCCTTGAGAACACTGAGTCTGTCACAATCCTCTTAAGGAGTTTCCAGTTCTCCTCCACAACAGTCACACCACTGGGCCTGCATGCTGATTCCTCCTTAGTGTGTTTTGGTCTTTGTCCTTCTGTCCTTACCAGGCACAACGTTGAAATCATGCACAAGACAACACTGCTCATATACCCTGTGGCTGCAGTTAACACATATATGATGTTACAGCCCTTGCTTTGTGACCTTTTCAGAATCTGTTTCACTGTTTCTTTCTTCCTTCTACTCCTGTCAATATTACCAGCCTCTTATTTCCTCTGCCTACTGTGTGCCATGCACTCTTTATGCCATTTTTCTTGTGCTCATATTCTGTTCTCATTGTTACCATTCTCTAATTCAAGCATCTCCATTTAGGACCTCCAACTTTCTTAGTTCATTTTCTCTGGAGCTTTATTCCAGCAAGTTCTCAATTTCACTAGTGCTGTTTCAATGGATCTTACTGACTCTTTTTTTAATCCCAAATTCTTTATGTCTGTTTCTCACCCTATCTATCTTAGCTTCCTTGGCTCACCATAATTATCATCATCTTTCACATAATTTCAGTTCTCTCTTCTTTTATCAACTGATTTTGTTACTTAACACTTTCATACATATATATAATGTTTTCTGATTACTGTTACCTTTACCTACTCTTTTCTCCCTCCAATCCCTGTTTACACCACCCATTACCAGTTACTTTTCGAGATTCATGATGGGTGTGTGTGTGTGTGTCTGTGTCTGTGTGCGTGTGCGTGAAAAAGAGGGTTGGAGAGAGGGAGAGAGGTGGAGAGAGAGAGAGAGAGAGAGAGAGAGAGAGAGAGAGAGAGAGAGAGAGAGAGAGCGCTAGTTTAACTAGGGCTATCTGTGTTACAGATGGATTAGAACTACCCATTGGAGTAATGTGATGAGGTCACAATATTCTCTTTCTCTTAATCTTTCAATAGGCAATAACTCATCAGGGAGGGATAGGGCTCCCTGCATCTACTTTTCTCATATGTGATTATTAAAGAGCCCATTCTTGTTCGAACCAGTGCAGTCATCCACATCTGCTTTGGGTTTCTGATTGGAGCAACTATGTCTTACCAAGACAATATTTCACAGCAATCCTTCTTGTGTGGGAGTATGTGAGAGTCCAGCTCTGATCTGCACCACCTTTTGAAGGGCTCTTAGGTGGAGGACAGAAGAATTAAGAAATGATGGATAGAAAGAGAGACCTAGCTGATGAAAAGAAAGACAGAAACACAGGGTAGCTTGGGGGGGGGGCTGGGTCAACACTCACCAGCCTTATCTTTTATTGAAAAGGTCTTTTTATAATATGCCAAGGGGAGAGACAAAAGACCTCCCCCTTGCAAGATCAAAGCACACCACATAGCCAAGTGTAGATCCTTCCAAATACCTGGTAAACACACTCGTGGCCAAATCATCTCCTTACACAGCCCTGCTCGGTAAAGCAAGCTCAGTTCTCTGACCCTGAAAAGTTCTCACTAGCAAGCATCTGTGGCCACCTACAGGTCTCTTTTCTTAATAATACAAAGTGAGGGTACAGACCTTAACTTTATTCAGCTCCAAATCAGCTTTTCACTAAGTGCTTACAAGTAGCCGGAATTATCATAGCTTTACTCCTGCTCCCTATGGATGCTACACTTTCCAGTAAAGGAATAAAGGATGATAAAGATAAAATGGCATTTTTGAATGGGTCTAAGATGACTACAGCAGTCTTAGACACACCAAGCCCTTTCTTAAATCAATTAATTCCTAATGCAACCACATCAAATAAATCAATAAACTCCTGATGCAACCGCTTCAACTAATCAATAAGCTCCTGATGCAACATCAAATAAATCAGTAAACTACTGATGCAACTGCTTCAAATCAATCAATAAACTCCTGATGCAACCACAACAAATAAATCAGTAAACTCTGATGCAACTGCTTCAAATTAATCAATAAATTCCTTATGCAACCATATCAAATCTATAACTTCTTAGCATCATCATACCATGGTTCATCAACATTAACAGGTTAACATAATTCTAGCATGAATATTACTATAAATAATTACAATTCTTACAAACTTACATCCAAAAGCAAACTCTCAATAGAACTATTTACACTTTACAAACTTTAACAAACATCCAATAGCAATCTCTCAATAGAATTCTTTTCATTTCTTGCTAACAAAACATAGGGTTCATTAACACAGGCTAACATTAATCCACTCAAAGAACAAGAAACATTTTTTAAAAAATTAAAGATACTGAGGAATATTAACTTCCCCCTTTCTTTATAATTTTTTAAGCTTCATCTTGAGCCTGGGTAGAAAAAAATAAATTTCTCTATTCCTACAACAAAACAATTCCACTTTTACACAAAACAGTTTATGAGTCACCACAGTTAATAAAACATATATGCATACACAAAATAATTCATAAGTCATCACAGTTGACAGAGTCTATATTCGTAAGTAAAATCAAAACTGTCCCATTGCAATTGAATCACTCCTGTCTATCCTATTTCTTAAGTCTGAAAACTTCAAAACAACAGTTCTGATACCAATCTTAAAGTTCCACTGAAAGCTTTCTTATACCAGTTGTAAAGTTCAAAATACAAACAAACCCACAACCAATTTTTTTTTCAGTTTCCTTGAATGCAACAATTCAGTTCAAACACCAGTCTCTGAAACTTCACTTTCAGTTACAACAGCATTTTATGGGAGTTTACCCTAGGAACTCTGCTATAGACAGGGAGAAGGTGGCTGTTACAGTAACTGAGCCTCTGAAGACCTCTCAAAAGAGTTAGCCTTGCAGCCAGCTGAATCAGGAAGCTGTTTCTTAAAGGAACCATGCATTTGACTGCCTCCATAAACAGAAGGTGCCTGACTTTAGCTGCTGGCTCCCAGTCTGCTTTTTTTTTTTTACAGTCCTGGTCTGTCTGTCATCTCTGGATGGCCAGCCCAGAGACGCTGTGTCCTGAGGCTCACTACTGCCTCATGTCACAAGGGCTCAAACTACCTCCCAGCTGCTATGAGCCGAGGCTCTCAATGAGCACCCAGGGCTCTGGAGGAAACCCAGCTGCTAAGAGCTCCAGCTTCCTGGGGTCTAGTTACCTGCCCTGCCAGGGGCTCTGCATGCAGCTCTCCAGTCCCAGAGTTTGTACAGCCAATTGCTTCACCCTGCTGCTGGGAGCCCAGGCTGGCCTCCAGCGAGTCTCTGCCATTCAGCCTGGAGTGCTGCTGTAGCACACTGCTGATAGGTACTCAGATCCTATACATTTCACTGTTTCATTGCAGGGAGGATTTCAAAACCTCTGCTGCTCTCTCCACACCAGGGCTCATCCCACCCTGAAGTCCTGTCAGCCAGCAGTTTTTCCCTGGGCCTTCCACTTCTCTGCCACTGTTCTGCCGTTGGGGATGCTGCCTGACCACCACAGGGCTTCCTGCTCACTGTTGCTTGAGGTAGCCAGGCCTACCTCTGTGTCCCTAAAAGCATACACACAGACTCAAAGGCACATGTTCCCAGGCCCTCCTGGTGTGTGCCCCAGGGCATCTTTCTCTGGAGGCTTTGTCTCTGGGACAGCTCCCACTGTACTCTCCAGCTGCCTCATGGCTATGGGGGGAGGGGTGTCATCCCTTGCTGGGCTCTGGCCTCGGGGGACTCTGGCTCCTGGTGACAGACCTGCTCTGGTCACTGGGGTCCGAAGTCTCTGCTCCACTCCAAGCCACTGATGCTTCCTGAGGTTTGCCTCTAGCAGAGCTACTGCATCTCTGTTTAGCTGGTCAGGGTTGCATGTAGCCTCAAGCCAGCACCCAGCAGGCTGACTGGTGGCTCAGCCGTGGCAGGAAGTGTGCAGAACCCTACTGTTGGTGCTGGCTCTGGGAGTCTGCTCCCTGTGAACTCGATGATTCCCCCCACGAGTCTTGGCTGCAGATGCCTGGCTGCTGCTGCTTGTGGTGGGGGTTTCTGAAGCTATCAGTCTCTGAAGCAGCTTTTTGTTCTCAGACTGACAGGTTAGCAGTGTCTGTTCAGTCCTGGATGCTGCTTTCTACATTCCCAGGTCGTTTCTGTGCTCAGGGAAGAACTACTCTACTCTAAATTACTTTATATTAAAGCTTCACCATATTCCTAGACCTAAAGCATATATTCTCCTCCTTCACCAAAACACTTTTTACGAATTTTGCTGCAGCCTAACTCTAACTACTCTGCTTTTACTCTTGAAGATTAGAATATCACCACCTCCTTTAATTCATTACCAGTCATGCCCCCTGCTCCATGGTGTTCCTTCTCTTCGTCTTCCATACCTAAGTCCCATGTTCAGGGCGCCATCTGTGGGAGTCTGTAGGAGTCCAACTCTGGCCTGCTCCCACCTTTTGAAGTGCTCTTGGTGGAAGACAGAGGAATTAAGATATATCAGACAGAAAGAGTCC